ACCTTAAAGATCTGGTTTCAAACTCCCATAGGCAGGGACACCTTCCACTAGACCAGGTTGCTCAAAGCCCAGTACAACCTGGCTGATGCTGATAAGGTAAACTGATAAGGTGAGTTGCTAGTCACAATGGTCTTTGGATACAAAACACTTGGACTCAGACATGAGGCTCCTATTCCCTTGTAGACACAAGGCAAAGATTAAAAATTTCAGAGCAACTGAGGATAGAGCACACACTTTGACACCTTTCAGCACATTGCAGGTAACCTAAATCACATTCATAGTCTTACTTTGTAGCTGGAGTAGTACTACAGACAGGAAACTGCTGGCACACTTGCTTAGAGTTGTTCCCTCTGGGGCAGTCATGGAAAGAGTACTGTATTTGCATTGCTTTCCTCAGCTGCCAGGTGTAGCAGTAGAGATAAGCTCTCATGAAGCAGGGATGGCAGTGAGGATGTTCTGCCTCACGCCAGCTACCCGTGGGCCAAGGCTAAAAGTCCACTTACACAACCACAATCCTCTTGCAGAATGCAGGCTGTACCGTCTGGCTGGTACATGACAATAGACAGTCTCCCTTTCCAAATCTTTATACAGCCAGTGCTCCCTAGGTGCAGCAAGTATTATCCTTCCATCAATAGGCTGATTGAACTGAAAACAAAGAGCTGATTCAACTCTAAGCCATAAAAAAGGATACATAGGGACCTGCTCCCTCTGAGGAAGCAAAGAGAAGATGGTGCCTTCCAGTGCTCCTCGCTTGCAGGATACAGGGCCCCAGGGGAACTGCTGGCCCGCTTACATGCAAAGCAATTGTCATCTGGCTGATTTTTCATTTCATCTGTGAAACTGCTCCATTGTAAAGCTATTTCATCGAGTGGGAGAAAGCATTCCTCATTTCCCAACAAAGAAGATCCATTTGTTTCCTTAGGCACAATTTACTCTTTCACATTTCTGGGCTTTGTTGTATTCTTACCTGACAATCTGAGAGTGCTTTTGATGTGAGAGCTAGCCAAATTTGGAGGTGAGACTCGATAACCTGGGAAAGTACAAAGAGAATCTAACACTGTGTGACATTCACCTCCTCCCCTGCCCATGAGGCACACAGTAGCCCATCTTCTTCTATAGTCTGCTGTGCTGGATGCCAATCTCACTTCAAAGCCACACTAATATAGACTCTTTACAGTGACTTTGATGGAGACTCTCCAGATTTAAGCCAATGCAGTCTAGATTGGAATAAATCGCACCTCCTCATCCATATGTAACGTACAAATTCCCTCCTGCCACTTTTGAATTTTTTCCTGTTGAGCAGGTTGGCATCTAAAGGAGCCTCTCTGAGCAGAATACCAACACCAAAGAGGCAAAGGCTGGATCATAACAAGAAACCCTCTAAACCTAAGTCTTGGCAAGGATGCTCTGATAAAAGAACACTTTTTCGGCATAAGTCACCCAAAAGATGTGAAAAGAATGAAGAGATTTTCCTTCTTACATCAATCCCTCATTGCCACTGAAGAAAGCCCACTTTGGGATCCATATCCTTATCCCATCTACTTCTTAATACATCAAGGATGGCTTAGAATCTGCCCTACTGTACAACTGGGAATGCCTGAGGTTCAAGATCAATTAATACTGGATTCCTAAGATATTACCAACAGACAGGTATAGTATGTGGAACTGAACAACAAGGAGAACTGACGGCTGTCAGGGGAATTAGCAACTGGTATAAAGAATCAACCAGCCTCTCCCCAGCTCCATAAACATTAAATATTAACCATTAAAAATCATGCATTTCTCTATCTGGTTAGTTATTCCTTTCCCTTCTTCTTTTCTTTTTCATCCCACCCTTAGACGAAGGCAAGAATCTCTTCTGGATAGAAACAAAATGCCCTTTTGCTTGTGTTTGCACCGAAGATACCCATGGCTAACACCACAAAGCCATTGTAGTAAATGCAAGGCAGATGAACATCACTGCACACAAGTAGCAGGGCTAGCACGCCTCATGGGTATAGCAGCCAAGCATGCCATGGCAATCAGCCAGCCCATGACACTGGATGGGAGCCAATTTGCTTTATTTTTGGCAGCCTGACACCACATACTACTGTGCCAGTCTTAAATCACAGGAATGATAAGAGGTGACCTTTGACAGCCAAGGGGACTGATGGAGCTGAAAGAGGATCTGCCCCCAGGCTGGAGGACTACTGGAGTGGCAGATGCTTGGTAGCCCTCCCTCTTCTATGGATGACCACTGTGGTCATACAAGCAACCACCAGTGCTGTGTTTCAACTGGGAGAAGGGTCAAGACATGGCAAATGTCTTAAAGTCTATGGGAAGAGTAAGTACCAAAAGAGAAACAGGGACATTTAAAGAGATGAGAGGGAGCAATAGGATTAAGATAGGGAAAAGACAAGAAAGGCTTTCTGTCAGGAAATATTTCCTCTCTTTGGTAACTTCTGTACTGTGATGATGCTCTATTGTGAAATAGTCTTTAAGGAGAAAGCAGCTTCTTACTATTCTGGACATTGTGCTGTGTGTTCTGCAAAGTGTATTGCCACTCCTCAGATGGACAAGAAGGCTTGTTCAATCTTTTTTGCATTCCGTTCTTGGATGGCTCTGGGGGCACCTACCCAGCTGTCTGAGACTGTGATTGGAAGGCTGATATCATACTGGGATAGGAAAAAAATCTATATTCATTAACATTTTAAACAGACTATCAGTTTGACTGTGGCCACACACTTGCCATGTTTGCTCTCTGCAAACATTGGCAAGCTTGAGTATCCCTGCATGCATATTGAATAAGTATAAAGAGATGCACATCCTGGTCTTGAACACTCAAACAATCACTGAAAATTCATTTTAAAATATATATTTGATTGTAGACTTTCCAACTTAACTCTGTTGGCCACATATTTACATAGGTAACAGTATCATGTGCAAATGCATGTGAAATCATGCATTTAAATAGCCACTTCAAATGATGTGGCCATGAACGGTCAGCCACTTCAGATGATTTTAAAGCCAACAAGAGCATGAGGGAAATACCTGCAAATAATTTAGAATACTGCATAGAACTAAACCATTCTTTGATGACTGGTGACTCAAACGAGGTAACATTAAGCAAATGAAATAGGCTGCTACTATGAATTGCCTACATCTACCCATTAGAGCACATAAACCTGAATAAAAACAGAATGTTAATTCAAAGCAGAATCACTACTCCTGCTTAGGAATACAGCATCCCAGGTCTGAAATAAGAGTTAATTATCACTCATTATCCTGTTCACAGAGAACCCCAAAGCACTGACTCACTCTGTCCTATTTTTGCCATTGATGTTTATACCTTTGCCCAAGTATAAAAACAATGCAAAAGTACAGAATGCAACACGCCAAATTAGATTTCACAAATCACATAACATTTATTTTGCCACTCAACTCATCATACAAAGAAAGAATAAAGGGCTGGAGACCTGGACAGCAAAAAGCCGACTTGGACAATGCAACTTCAAGGCTTATCTCTAGAAATGTTTACGTGAATGGAGGTAAAACCAGTAACTCTTTGTTACTGTGTACATTCAGTTCAAACTCATGCTCTTGAAGGCTCCTCCCTTTGTCCATATATTAAATCATACGTGTTCTACATGAGCTCCTTTTATAGTACTTATCTGTCCTTTTGGATACCTGTTCTTTCTTATCTGACCACTTTGTTTAGCAGGAACAGAGTCACCTGAAGTCCCAAATTAGCTATGAAGCTTAGAGAGTGGGAATTGTCATTTGTGGGAAAAAATTGGTGGACCAAATGAAATGATGGAGAAACACCAGTAAGTGCAAGATTGGATGCTAAGGCTCTGTAACATTTACATCAGTCTGTTTAGAAATATCAAGGTGATATATCCCATTTTTACCCCAACAAGCTAATAAATGCAAGAATGACCTATACAGCTGAATGACTCATGAATGTGGAGGCCAGTTACGCTTGACACTGGCTTTGCACATGTGGTGCCTACCTCTGATGTTATTATGTTGTTTACCTTGTGTTTCTTTGATAACGTAAGGAAGGTAAAGAACAAGAGCAAAGGTATCCTCAAGTCTTTGATGCATTTTCTACCCAGCTCAGTGTCACAATTCAAAACCAGCTCTTTATGGTTTGTAAACACTATGCCTCTGTCAAAAATGTTCACTTTTGCCTCTCAAAACTTTCCACCTCTTCCCAGGGGAACTAGTTAAGCAGCGCTGCACTCAGGCAAGAGCAAAGAATCGAAAACATCTCCTAGAGTGACTGTTTGCACCTAATGTTCTCTTCTGTCCTCACTCACTGAGCTGTCAGAGCCTTTAATCTTCCCTTTCTCTAACTTATCCACTTACTCTGAGGGTCTGACTCAGCTGACAGGTCTAAAAGCTTCATGCAACTATGGCTGTAATGGGCTACTCCAAGCACAGATGCTAGAAGTATTTGTGTGGATGGAATTATAAGCAATGCTGATAACAACACGTTCCTGACTAAGATGTGGTTTGCTAGGAATCTCATCCATTCAAAAGAAGATGGGAAAAAGACCCTTCTTGACCATCCCACCAGCAAAACTAAACAGCCTCCTGCAGTATGAGAACTGTCTTGTGAGATTTTCAGCTCGAGTTGGCAGCCCCAGTGAGCAGGTATCCGCTTGGCCTGTTTTGTTGCCCCACTGCAGCTGTCTGTGCTAGTGTGACTGGGAAGGTTCATCAACCTCTTTAGCATATGAAGAGCTTGGGGAAGACTCCCAGGCTCCTTCAAACCTCCCTGACACTCTCTGGCCACCACAGCAAAAAGAGCTGCATAGCTCCTCCGCCTAGAGGAAAAGAAGCCTTGAGAGGAGGAGCAGTGTTTCCAAAAGACACGGGGAAGCAGGGAAGAGCGTGTTAAGAACATGCAACTCCCTCCACCCCTAAAGCCCAGCAAGGGGATTCCCTTGTTAACCCTTGAACAACCTCAGAGGCACCCCCAAGATCCCCATTCCCTAAGCGAGACATCCACTCACCTGTCTTCTCTTCGGTTTGGCTGCTCTCCACTGTCTCCATTTGGGGTTGCGCTGTTGCCTTGGCAGTAGCATCCTCTGCGGCAGGGGTGGTGGTAGTGGCAGTGGTGTCAGCAGCAGGCACGTCGGCTTGTTTAGGCTCCTCTTTGTCTTGGGCTTCATCAGCCTTCAAGGACGGCGAGTTATCAGTGGAAGCTTTAGTGGCACTTTCTGTTTCGGCAGCGGCAGCAGCGGGCTTCTCCTCGGAGGAGGCAGCAGGAGCAGCAGCCTGCGGGGCTGGCTGCTCTGAGCCCGTATCGGCGGCTCCATCCCCTTTTTTCTCCTCCGCTGGTGTGCTGCTGTCTTTGCTGCCCTCCTCCACCTGGGCACTGTCAGCGGTGGCAGCTTCTGTGGCAGTGGGAGCCTCGGTCTCTTTGTTCTCGGCCGCTCCACCGGCAGGGCCTTCCTCCTTCTTGTCAGCAGCATCAGTCTCAGATGCTGGAGCATCTCCCTTCTTCTCCCCCTTGAGCTTTTTCCTTGTTATGTGTCCACGGAAGCTGGCCTGGATTTTGGTGGCTGCCTTATGAGCTTTATCTTCTGGTTTGATGCCATCTTGTTCGATCTTTTGGTCCCCATCCTCATTTTTTTCAACCTTTGAAGAAGGAGAGCAGAGGAGAAAACAGGGAGATGAGTTAAGGTTTCTCCAGGTGCAGCTCAGGCTCTGGTTTTACAAGGAATGTTGCACTTTCCCCTCCTGCTACCCAGTGACACATTTCAAAGCAGCCTTCTATTTGGTATGGGTTTGAAGCCAAGTGGCTCTAATTCCATCCTGGGGCTGGACAGACAGAGGGGGTTTGTAAAAGGAATTTAAAGCACCTCATCATCTCTGCCAGCAATACTGAGAGCACCTTGGCTGTGTGGAAAGGCTTGTACCAGCTCCTTTGTCTCCATCCCCACGATTTATTTTCTCATCCATTTTGAAATACACTGATTTTTTATCCCCTACTCATTTACAAAACACTCTCCCAAGGGGAATTCCCATGGTCCTTCCAAATCAACTTTGATTTGCCTTCAAGTCTTTGTTTCTCTTTAACGACACCTTGTTTCACAGGTGTGTGACTCTAATGACACTGAGTGTTTTGTCCTTTAAAGCTTTTTGGCTCAGGATTGCCAACAGAGACTAGTATTGCTGCCTGCTCCACTGCAGTTGTGTGCTGTCAGACATACACACATAATCACAGCACATACTCCTCACAAATGCCCTGCCTTGCAAGCACTCCAAGCACTTCACTCCCCGCTTGTGGTTTCAATGAAGGAATAATAGGCAGATGGATACCAGTTTTCCAGATCTCAGCAGATGATTATTGTTTCTCCATTGGGGGAATTCAGCCTTGCAACAAAGGACAGGCATTCCCCATAGTTTTTAAGCATATGCCATGCATTAGAGTCTTAAATGGGACCAAAGCAGAGCCTGTTCCTCATGCTGGTCTGCTGCAGGTAGACAACTCTCAGCTTGCAAAACCCCACTGAATCTACAGGACATACTATGCTTCACCTCAATAATTTAGCAGCCCTTGGGCAAGCAACAGTTCAGCTGCATATTGACAGAAGGTCACTGTTCTATTAATATTCCCATTGGGAAGCATTCAAAGGAGGTACTTGGAAGCAGAACCACTGGCTTCTTTGCTATCTGCACCTGGTTTCCAATACTGGCTCAGGTCACAAAAGAAGGGCAAGAGCTGGCTGAGAAAGATAGCAAGGATTTAGTCCTGGGTGGAAAGAGGAAACCACTCCTTAGGCCATCAGTACTGAGAGGAACCACCTGGGGAAAGGGCCAGGACTAGAAGAGCAGAGAGAGGGGAAAGGCTATATATAAATTCAAACCAGTTCAGCAGGAATAAGGGGGCAGCATGCACATGTGGCACTGGAAACACCATGCTTCTGAAGAGAGGTATGGTGGCCAAGGAGCAAGCAGTCCCAAATCATCAAGGTAAAGAGCAGCAGAGGTGGGATGGGTCTGGATACAGCAGGAAGTAAGTCTGAGAGTGAGACTGGGTACCAGGATGCTTACGTAGAGGATGAGTGAAAAAGCCTGTGAGTGAATATGCAACTGCTATTAATACACAGAATTCAGCACAAGGAGGTTTCATGCTCCTCACCATGCTCAGGGACAAAATGGTTGCTGTACCTATCAAAGGGGCACAGACAGCAGTTACGTCTGCACTTCCCCAAGTGTATTAAGTGACGTAGTATGGAAAGTGGGCTTTCATGTTCACCTCAACTTGTCAGCAAGCAAGGGATGGTAATGTGTAAAGACAATGCAGATGTTGGCATGCTGTAACCCTTCATGTACATCTTTTATTTACACAGCTAACTCTGCACTGTATTATTCAGCATGTGGGGCAAGCTTTCCAGCCTATTTCAGTACAAGGGGAAGGAAACAAATTGGAAGTACCTTTAAACCAGCACGTTCAAGGAAGAGCTGTGATCCAGCCAAAGTAGTGCAGCTCTGCACAGGCTCATCCACCCTGCTCCTTAGGTGAGTTTTGCAGCTTGCAGTAAATCCTGTGTTGCTGTGGCAACATAACTACTCATACCTGGACTAGTTGGTTTAAGGAAAGCTTGAGCATGCCTGTATTACACTATGTAGCCATAGCAATGTGGAGATAGACTAGGTACTTCTGGACAGTAACACTTGGATGCCCTAGCTTTGACTAAGGACTGTAGCCAATTTCAAACAGCAGCAGGACTGGGAGACTGGACAGGTTAGACATGACTGCAAGACCCTAAAGATCCAGCCTCATATGTTTGCTTCCTGCAAAGCCATCAGTGAATGTGACAGAACTGTTAATTCCTGGGTAAAGATAAAAACCATTGACTTGAAGGGAGATTTGTCTTGCCACTGGCCTTGCACCTCTCACATCCCACATACCTCCCTGTGCCAACCAGGGAAGCTATTATAGTGTTGAATTCATGCCTCTGCCTCCAGATGTGTTACCTGGTACCTGGGCTATGAAGCTCTGAGGTTTATCTGCTTCCCACTGCTAGCAGGAGGCCTGGGCACAGCAAGAAGCACAGCAAGAACCAAGCATCCTGCTACCCAAGCTGAACTTGCAGAGACCTGTGACTGTCAGCCAGCCCTGTACCTGGTAGAGAATGGGAGAGCATTCTTTCCCTCCAGGGAGGCCAGACTGAAACCTCTCACCCACACCTACTGCATTATAGAGCTAAAATGCTCCTTTGCTGTTCCGATGACATCATGGTCCTCTTATCCCATTTGGGATGACATCAGTTTGAGTCCTTGCCAGATCACAAGGTTTGCAGCTACAAAATGGACTTCCAACAGGGTGCTTTCAGCATAATTTCAGATGTAAAAGATAAGAAATATGAAGCTGGGGCAGAGGTGGAGTTTAAGATCATGGATGAAAGAAATGTACTAATAGTTTGTCTGTGCCAACTGTGGCCCTCAGCAACCCCATTTCTATTCAGTCCTTCCTCACTGAAGCATTTGAAATGACTTCAGGCTACTGGCCTGCAGCTACTTCTGGGGTAGGACATGGTATCCGTTGAATATGTGTGTCATGTTGTATAACAATGGGTTGGGTGAGAAACAGATTGTTTCAGAGGCAAACTTATGCTCACACAAAAAAAAAGACAAAGGCTCTTCATCTGTGGATTATGCACGCATTAGATAAGCTTTAATTAAGGAAGCTGCTCAAAAATAACCTGTATATATAGTGAAGCTCCTAGAAAGCAATTTATCTTCCCTGGAAAGCTAAAAGGGTGAGTCAGCCCTGCCAGGGTGTATTCAAAAGCATCTCAGTGGAAAACAAGAAAGCTGCCTGTCTTATCTATCTGCTATGCATGTATGACATCTCGGCTGGAGTATTGTGGCTGAAATCAAGTGACAATTATTACTAGGTTTTGTACAGAAACCAGGTCTCCCAGCCAAGAATCAGCCCTGGTAAGATTAAGTTTTATATACTAGTATTCCATCACACCCCCCCTTCATTTACACATTTATGTGTAAAGTAAACTCATGCTAGTCATTAGCATTGACATATTCATGATATTGTGAGTCTGTATGCAACGTATTGTCATTTTACACAGAGCAAATATCCTCTGTTTCACTTATTGTGGAACAAATCATAGATTCTTCCATGGCAGAAGAGTTGAAATCACTGAGGTGGGTGGATACATAGCTATATGGATGTATAAATGGACATACATAGTCAGGACCATCTCCACATCCCCATTGAAGCCAGTGTGCAAAGCTTTGCCTTCATGAACACATTGCTAAGCTTTGAAGTCTCTACACAGCCCACATCTTTCCAGTCCTAGAGGGATGATCCCCTCGCCATCTCCATCTGCTTGTCTGCCACACCTCCAGGTTTCTAGGACATCCCTTTCCCAGGCAGACAGCTCCTGTGAGACTTCCCTTGCTGTCACACAGAGCAGAGTAGGAGATACGACATCAATGTTTACGGGCAGAGGTTAGTTTTTAAGTACCAGGAAGATGGAAATGGCATGAAGCCACGACCCTAAGAAGACTTCTGATCTCTGGCAACATTTCCACCTTCCATCTCCAAACCCACAGCTTACAGAGGGGTCAAAATATGGCAAAGAATGAAGACAGTGTTACTATAACCTTCAGGCCCTTCTAAATGTCCCACATGCTGGTACATCAGGAAAGGAGAAATGAAGAAACTAGATGTTTTCCAGATATTCCATGTGTTTGCAGCCACACACAGGCAAAGAGAAAGAAGGAAGGGGACTGATTGCTTGGTCTTTGCTTGTTGTTTGCACACTTGTCTCTCGTGATGTATCTCCTTGCCCATCCTTGGAAAAATAATCACATAGGTTTGTATTTTGGATGCCAGGATGGAGAGATCAAGAAAGAACTGACTGTTCCTTTAAAAGCTCTTTCAATATTATCCTGTCTACTCTGCCATTTTCTACAGATCTCCCTTTCCTGGTGTTTCTCTGCCCACCAGTATATAGCTTGTATCAACCTCCTTAATGTTCACCCTAGGATCACGCTGCTGTACACTCAGTCATCACTGATATCCAGCTCCTTTCTGTCCTTATCTAGGAGCTCCTTTTAACAGGACACCAAATCCCAGAGCCCTTCCATTCACATTGCTGTCTCCTGGTATTCTGAAACCTGCATGCCACAAGTCCAGATTTAGGATTTACACAGCTTTTACCAAAGAAGGCATTAGCATTGGCCAGGGCCTTGACATCCACAGGACCAGTGATAGTTATCAATAAGCTGCTTCATAACCCAACTTCATAACCAATGATACCCAACTATTAAGATAGATAAAAAACTCAACCCATGTTCTTCATGCAACGATAGAGGGACCTAAAGTCATTCCTTTCTCATGACACATGCATTAAGGTATGGAAATCTTTCCTTCAATTTGCTAGGTGAATTAGCACTGAATCAGCTTGTGGTACTTGTGGGGTTAAGACGCATCTCAGTCCATACTCTAACCTTGACTACAGCAAATGCCTATTCCTACTGATGTTACTCAAAGTCACGAAGAAATGTAGGCACCTGACTCCCATTGGATTCACAGGATTGAGTCACCTTGATGCTTTTGTGAGCTTGACGTGACCTGATTTGTCTCAGAGCAGGCATTTAAGGAG